AAAAAAAAAAAAAACACCGGGTTATAAGAAACATTAGCGATGATGTAATTAGCAACCAGTCTGTCTCAAGTCTTTAAAACACAGGCGTTAGGCTTCGCTCCAAGCTACCTTCGTAAAAAGCCTGTGTTGATTCACTTTAATAGAGTGGCAGACATACTGCAAACTAAAATCCCAGTAAACGAATTACAATCATCAGTGCAGAAAGAGTAGAACAGATTTTCCAAAAAGTAAGGTTCTTTAACTGAAAAGTCAAGGTAACTGTGAACAGCCTTAAAGAAAGGCAACTATGGCTTTTATAAAATTCAATTTACTAAAGTCGGCAATCAAGAAAGGTCACAGTCCAAATTCCATGCGTTGCATACGGAAGACCCTGGGAAATAAGCAGTGATTTTCTGGAGTCCAGTCTTTCACTACACTGAATTTTTCAAACGATAGAACAATTTTCTAAATGACCGGAACCGGAAATGCAACAGCGACGATGAAGCTCCATAGTATTAAAAAAAAGTGCATTAAAAATTATCTTGTCTAATTTGAAAAATTAAGACAGAGACCTGCGGTGAGATCTAAATACCCGTAACCAACAAAGACATCCTCAACAACTTAATTGTAAACATACAGCATAACACCTTTACTGCCGTAAATTCAGATCAGAAATTCGAACCACCATATCAATTTCTAAATACCTTTCTAAGTTTAAAGTTACTGGCTTCTTCAAATTACAGGAGCATCGAAAGCAAACCAAAACCACTTCCACAAACGTCTTCTTTGAAGAGAGCTACATCAAAACCAAAATTACCCAAGGGCTGATTTCCAAACCGCTGTTGTCCAAAGCTGCTCTGAGGCACTTGAAATATTTCATTACTGATGTCACCAAAGGCAGTATGAATGCCGGAATTGAAGATTCTCGCCGTCGCAACCGACCGCTCCGCTTTCCCAAAAATACCACCAAACATTATAATCAAAGCCCTGGAGGAAAATACCGGGTTGAAAGCAAAAAAAAAAATCGTTAGCGGAAACTTGTCGGCAAGAAACCTTCAAAGCTGCAGTCGGACTCTTCTATTTCTCGTGGCCAAATCTATTTTGTGGCCACAAAACTGCTCAGTTGTGAATGAGAGCCGAAGTACAATTTTTCTGTAGTAACTGCAAGTAACCTGGTGCAAACTGTGTAGCGCTGTTGTTGACTTAATATACTAATCGGTGGTTCATTTAGTCGAAGTTCAGTGAGACGCATTCAGTAATGGTTCTGCCGTTTTTTAAGGAGTGCCGTTTGGCAAAGAAAAATGTTGTCAATTAAAGCTCAATTAGAACA